TAATTTCTCAAAGTTTCAGGGAGGATAATAATATTGATGTGCAATTCATAAGAATTTTGTAAAGAACTTTCCGCACTACGTGGCACATATGAGTACCAGGATCAAAAAGACCAGATGTACAGTCCTTCTTCTCGCACCTTAACTCTAACCTAAGTAATCGTAACTCTAATCTTCATTTAGCCATTGGCAAATTCAAACTGTCAAGCTTGGCATTTTAGTGATTGAGGACCAGGGAATGACGGGCCCGGTGATCTTCTTCCATTAAGAGTAGAGACAAAGAAACACTTGGGCAGTTCTCCCGGGCAACAAATGGGGTGCCATGAGACATAATCATTAGCAACATGTTTGGCAGTTTGTTTTCTCATACTGACCAGCCTACCACTGCCTTTCCATATTCTCATCCCCATACTCCAATCTCAGACATCACGGCACGAGGGACCTCTGGGGGCTACGGAGGAGCCCCCTGCATTGAGTAGCACTCCACTCTGACCGGGTGCCCTTTTGTGTAGTGGATCCTGTTGGACTTTGCAGCAGGTGGTCAGCAAGCCACCCCACAGGTTTAACCGATGTTGGAGATCCGTGAGAATGTAAGATTCAAGTTCCGAAGAACTGCGAAAGAAGGGTGACAGCATTAGTACACCTGGGTGAGATAAGGAAAGTTAGATGAGATTAATGGGCCTTGGAATTAAATTAGAAGCATCCTTGCTGCTCTGTAAGGTTCGGCTACAGAGACTGGAGCCAGGATGGAAAGACGCAGCCCCTCTCCCTGGCTCTGCACAGCTCCCCCTGCCTGTCTCCCAGAAGTCTCTACCCATCTCTTCCAGGCCAAGCACCAGCAGCCTTAATTGCCGCTCACCCTCATGCCTGGTTCTGTGTTCAGCCAAGCTGCCTAATCAGTCTTCTTTGACTGGAGACTCAATGTCCCCTGCAGAGAGTCCGCAAACATGCTTTGAAGTTATTTGCATCCAGCCAGAGGGACCTTTTCATTCTAACTGCAACTTGAATGCCTCGATTGTTTCAATCCCCTGGTAAGTAGGGCAGGTGGATGGTGCAACAGTCACACTGGGCCACAGTTTTTCGTCACATTGGTGAATTGATGCATAAAAGTGACAGCAGTGTAAATCTCGTCATGGCTGGTAAGAAATGGAAGTCACCAACACACGTCACTAACACAAGAGAAGAATGTGAAGTGTTTTATTTCAAGAGGAGTGAGGCATATCTGCCTTGTTCTCTTTGTTGAAAGGACTTCAGGGGACGGTTAAATCCCAAAGGGGAGCTATGGCGTCATTTGACTTGAATATATCCTGAAAACAGGAAGATGCTCATTCACCACCATCCCCCAGCACAACACCCTGCAGGAAAGCTTGATACAGCACCCAGGAAATCGGTCCTCTCCCTTCAGCTGATTTATCCATCATCACTCTGTTCTGGTTGCGGTGGCAAACAAAAGCCAGGGAGCAAAAGGAGGAAGGGCTTCGATTCTAGTTTAGCCACTTGCTATTCTCCTTGGGTAAATAGTACCCCCTCAAAAGTACCTACAGTGGCATGTGTAGGTGCTTCTCAGTAGCATTCCTTCCTTTCTGTCTTCCCATGCATTGTCACCCCTACTTGCTAATAACACTTCTTTATTCCTTGGTGTTAGACAAATAGATCCCCATTATCAATGGCGGCAGAGTTGGCCCTCAGCCTCGGCCCTGCCCTGAGCCCAGCAAAGCACAGGCCCGCAGCAGAATTTATCTCAAGGTGACATCGTAATGGATGATTGCTGCACTTCTTAATCCATTTATGTAAGCCTTCCTGCTTTGCTTGCTGTTATGTTCAGGGCTTGAGCGGCAATAAATGGTTCCTTTCCCAAGACAGAGTTCGTTCAATTTAAATGTGGATTGATTATAACTAAACTTATGACATGTCTTTACAAAGGAAGGGCGTAAAACAGCGATAAATTATGCATGATGATTATTTAGCATACATTCAGTTTCCACAGTATCCTAGGCTCAGCATATAGCAGTTGGGAATAAGCCCCTGCCCTTGGGAGTCAAAGCATCGGTGCCCATATGAAAGGATGCTCATCTACCTATTCACAGACAGGGCTGGGGCTTCAGACCAATGGCCATTTAATTCCTTATTCAAGGGGTATCTCACAATATGATCAGGATTTTTGTTTGCTGGTTTGTTGGCTTCCTTGTGATTTGTGAAATTAGCTGAATCCCTGAGATCAGGCTGACTCCTTGCCCATATCTGTGCCTTCTTTTTATAAAGAAATGATCTCCTTAGATATATTCTGCTGACAGAATCCTTGACCTTAACCTCTACTCCAAAATATCACTCCCTACCACTCCTCAAGGAATTGTTGTTGAAGACTGTGATAATCTTTGAGGGCAAAGTCTCCCTATGGTTTCCTACCTGATGCATATGCGCAGCACACTTAGAAATAGTGCTTGGCACTTGTGCAGGTAAAATCCTTTTCTCATAACTGCACCCTTGAGAGAATATAGTCAGGTATGTGCTCATTAATGATAAGATTTGAATGCCAAATGGGTGAGAATTGGGTGGATTTTTAAGAACATAAATTGAAATATAACTTATCTGAAGCAATAAGGCACACCAAGTTCATTGAAGTCGTATTTATAAGGAGGTCTGGTGGTGCCGTGGTTAAGACACATGGCTGCTAGACACAGAATTGGCATGTTGAACCTGGGAGTCACTCCAGAGGAGAAACATTTTCCAGATGATGGGACAGTTTTTTTCCTTACAGATTTACAATCCTGGAACACCACAGGGCCGGTCATAAGGTCCCCAGGAGTCAAAATAGACTAGGAAGCAAGGGGAATGGGTATGGCATTCCAACTCGGATTGGAACATTCACAGGGATGGTCTTCATTCATAGAAGCCTCACTAACCATGCCCCATTGACAGTTCTTGACATAGAGTAGTGATCAACAGAGAGCAATGCCTGGTGATTCTGTCTGGTGATTGCTGACTCTGTGTGGTGGAGCACTGGTGGCTGAGTGGAGACACACTGGGCTGGGGGCCCCACGGCTGGAAGTTGGAAACCTGGGTCAAAGATGGGGCTTCCTGAAAGCAGGTCCCGTCTCAGACCTCACAGAGACCACGCTAACATGTCCTCTCGGGTCGCTATGCCTCAGGATCAACTCAACTTGACTCAATGGCAGTGATTTTACCTGTGTGGAGGATGATTAAATGAATCAAGATGGATCATCCTCTTCCTCCTCAAGTGAGTGACAGGCCCACAGCAAGGAACCCATCAAGTCGTTCTCTGAAGAGCTATATTATGTACAATTCACAGGTGAAAAAAGCCGATGTTCCGAGCAATCAAGTACCTGTCCAAGGAAACAGAAGCAGAGCCCTTCCATGAAGGGAGCCAGAGCCTTAAGGCCCAGGCTGAGCTCCTAACCACTGTACTCTACTGCCAGCTAGGACCTGAGTACAAATGTGCACCCCCCTCCAGGAACAACAATAAAACGCCATGTCCTTTAAGACTTTGCTTACCTTTGAGTTAAAATGACACCAAGCATTTTTTTTCCCTCAACAATTCACTTGCACAATTTCCTCCACCAAGTAAATTGATTAGATTTGTTATCCCGAATGTGTCCTCTAAGGAGGACCCCGCTCCTTAGAAGGGCTTCATGCTTGGGAGGTAGGGGAGGGGCATGAAAACCTTTGAGGAGATGAACTGACAAAGTGGGAGCGACAACAGGCTCAGCTGTAAGCGCATTTATGAAGATGGAACTTGACCGAGTAGCGGTTCGTTCTGTCGCACACAGGGTCGCGATGGGTCAGAACCAACCCAACAGTATCTGACAACAGCATGCCCCCAAATGATTTAAATGATATTTTTTAAATGGCTGTAGAATCTGAGGTTGGTTGGTAAATCCAAAACCAAATTCACTGCTATGGAGTCAAGTCGAAATAATAGCAAGCCACAGAACTGCCTAGGGGGTTTAGAGACTGTAATTATTATATTTTTTATTTTAAATTGAATTATGATGAACACATCACACAATTCAGTGGTTCAATCAAGTCAAGAAAGACCATGTATTCATAATCACGATCAGCTTTGGGACTTGTTTTCTTGATTTTTGCACTTTGATGTTGATTCCTTATTTCCATCTCCCTGTATCTCCAGTCAGACATCTGTTGTGTTACTATCTTCCTGTTTCCTTCCACGCCGGTTTTCATTTACAGATAACCAAACAAGACTAGGACATCAATGGTGCTCATATAAAACTCACTGAGACCTCATTATAATAGAAAGCAGAGAGTATTAAAAGTTTAGAATGAATTCACATTGAGACCCTAGGGTGATCAAATTATAATATGTTCTATTCTGGCTTAAATACAATGACTAAAATCCTCTTGAAAATGCTCATCATCATTTCTAAACAATTTGCACTGGAGATTCAGTGGAGGCACATCCCACATAGTGACCATATAAGTAGATTTTGAGCTACCGCTATCCATTATAGTTTTCCACAATCAAGTGTTTAGGATTTGGGCACTGGTTCCATTTCCTTTTCCAGGTTTGGATCACACAGGTTGGTGTGCTTCCTCTGCATGGACTTAGCTGATTCCTCACCAAGATAACTGTTTGCATTAAGAAAAAACCTTCTTCAAGGCACCAGCCTCTTTTAGAGACTAACTCTTTAGAAAGTCTCACTGTTAACCACCCCCCACCAAAAAAGATGAAAAAAGCAATTGCTTAAAATTTCTTCTTGCTTTTCTTTATTCAGAACTTTGAACAGATTTAATTGAATAAAGATACAAGAAAATCTGAGCCAAGTTATAGATTTTAACCAAGTTTTTAATTTTTTTAAATTGGAAAATAGGACCCAGATAGAAACTAGATTTTCCAGTTTGCATGTTCAGGATCATGATCAAGATCTCAAGGACAGACTCCATCTCTAGTTATCTGTCTTCTTAGACTGGTCCCACCCACTCCCCAAAGCATAGACCCTCAAAGTGTGTGTGTTTCCTTACAGTTGACCTGGACAGGCTTAACGATGACGTCAAGAGGTACAGCTGCACTCCCAGGAACTATTCTGTCAACTTACGGAAGGAGCTGAAGCTGACCCATGTGGTCTTCTTCCCACGCTGCCTGCTGGTGAAGCGCTGTGGGGGAAACTGCGGCTGTGGAATTGTCAACTGGAGGTCCTGCGCGTGCAGTTCGGGGAAAACTGTGAAAAAGTACCACGAGGTAGATCCTTCTAAATTGTCTTTGTTACCATATTACACCGAGCCCGTTTTGGTGGCAGTGCCCTGTCTTAGGGTTACAGAGCCTCTCTGTGTGGTTGCTCCATGTGTTCCCTGCTCCCGGGCTCTCAGCCAGGGGAAGAACTGGGAGTTGAATTTCTATCTACGGTAGGTTTACCATGCCCAGGGCCTGAAATTCGCCCTGATAAAGGATTCCTCTTTCTCATGTTCCCGCTTCCACACTAAAACTCAGCGGGAATATCTAATCAGAGGTATGAGGATGACTTCAAAAACTTCACGGAAACATTGAATTGAAAGATAATGGAATGTTCCCACTAACTATTCAAAGCCCCTATTTATGATACATTAATTTCCGGATCTGTTTCACATCCATCTAGAAATGGAATCTTATTAATTTACCACGACATGAAGGCAAAATCTAGGTTACATTAAGAGAAGACGGAGTCAAACTTTAATTAAACTCAGACAATGAAAAATAAATTACAGAAAAGATTGCAAAAATAGAAATAGAAAATATAAATTTTCAGAGACCTTTTCATTCTCTGAATATGAAGGTATGTTTCCTCTAGAAATGCTCAGTTTTCCCGAAGTACCACTCAGTAGTACCTAGGGAATTGGCTTTTGGATTATGTGAAAATAAACAAAAGTAAATAGAAAGCTAGAAGGACAACAAAATGTACAGAGAATGGCAATTTTTAATGATAAGAATAGCAATCACTTACAAGCATTTACTGCTTGCCAGACACTATTGTAAGTACTCAGGAACTTAATTATTGACGTCTCATCTCTCTGTAAAGGAGAGACTACTTTCATACTCTCTTTATAAATGAGAAAATTGTGGCCTAAAGGAACAGCAAAGGCATGGACGCAGTTGTGCTAGTGTTTTCTGTCATCCGTCTGCTGTAGAGCAAAGCCTTTTCCTCTCCTGCTCAGTTGCACAGGTTGACTTGACCAAAGCAATGGTCAGGTGGGAATCTGTGGAGGAGGTACACACTATTGAACCAGGACCAGACGTGCTGCACAGATTTTATGGGGAAAACAAACAAGTTCTTCTTACATTCATAGAGGCTTGGAGTCAAATGGAAAACAGATGCTGTCTAGGGACAACCATAAGAAAATATGTCTCAAAACTTGACCACCTGTCACACTGATATTCACCCTGCTGATGCTCAGACTACTCTAAGTGATGGTCTGGTGGTCCTAGTGATGGGGCTGCTATCTAACACTAGCCAGACTTTGAGAAGATTCCTGCAGGCATCTGTCCTTGCTCCTGAGGGCTCTAATTCAAATATATTGCATGTTCACGATGATATGAAGTCTTCCGCAACTTTGTCTCTGAGCTTCAGGAGGAATCTCAAGAAATAGTAGAGGCACCTGAAGAAAGGCAGCAGGTATCAGAAGTGGTACCTGATGATGCTGAAATGTTCTATGGTCAAAACAACAGCAGTGGCATACAAGAGCATTCAGAGCAGAGGTTCTCAACCTGTGGGTTGCAACCCCTTTGGGGGTCGAATGACCCTTTCACAGGGGTCGCCTGATTCATAACAGTAGCAAAATTACAGTGATGAAGTAGCAACAAAAATAGTTTATGGTTGGGGGGGTCACCACAACCTGAGGAACTGGATTAAAGGGTCACGGCATTAGGAAAGTGGAGAACCACTGATTTAGAGGAACCTGTTACTGAACCAGAACCTGATCAGGAACCAGAATCAGAGCAAAAGCCCATTGCTGAAATCCAAGAGGAAAATCTGAACCTGTATTAGAAGACACTGCTCCTAAGGATGCCCAGAAGAGTTCTTCCCTTGCCCCTGCAGATGTAGCTCAAACAGTGCAGAAAGGCCTGTGGACATTTTCTTGGGCATCTGTGACCATTAAGAACCTTCCACCCAGTGGAGCTCACCCAGGTACTGGGATGCCACCTCATGTTGCTAAAGTCCCATCACCGCCCTGTTCTGAGTCTAAACCTAAATCTTAGATTCCACCACAGAGGCCTCACAGGGATCAAAGAGTGCAGCAACAACGAATGAATAGATCCTCCTCCACAGAGGGGCTCTAGACCCTGAGACTGACGAGATGAGGTCACGCTGAACCTCCAAGAAGTCTGAGACACCCTGACAATCACCAGTTCTTCCTTCACTGGTAACCTGCTTCATGAGATGGACAAATCACCGTTTAAAGATTTCTTTCAAAATTATGAGAATGTGATCGAGCTGCTCATCAACTCCAGAAACTAAAATCTCTGCCATCAAGGCAATGCCGACTGACTCATAGCAACCCCCTGTGGTTTCCAAGACTTATATCTGCATATGGGAGTAGAGAGCCTAGTCTTTCTCTCAAGGAGCAGCTGGTGGTTTCAAACTGCTGACCGCGAAGACCACAGCCCAACTCGTAACCACTATACCACCAAGGACGGCCAACAGTGGTGGAAAATTACCTAATTTGGGTTTTCTTGTGTTTAATGACTCTGAACTAATTCAGAAGGTTATTAGCAACAAGCCTATCGTGCCCAGAAGTGAAGTCCATCATAGACAAGAAGAAAATTCAAGCTGCCAAGGAATGAGACCATTGAGACAACCTGGAAGCCCTCAAGGTATGGTGGGTGATGAATTGACAGGCCGTTCCGTTCCCACAGTGACATGGTACTGAAACTAGGATTTGGAGTGAAACGGAATTGCTTCAAGGCAGTGAATACCTCTTCACTGGTCAGCATGTGTTAGTCCGGGTTGACTAGAGAAACAAATCCAGTGACACTCCTATATGTGTAAGAGAGCTTTGTATCAAGAAGTAATTATATATCAATAAAGCATCCCAGCCCCATCCAACTCAAGACCAAAAGTCTGGTATTAGTCTCTAAGTTCCTTTTCAGACTCATGCAGGCACATGCAATGATGCAGAATGCAGGAAGATCACAGGTTGGTGGGTGCAGAGTGCTGTGGATCCGATGGTGGTGGACACAGGGTTCTGGCAGCAACCAGGGTCTGCCACCAAGAAGCTGAAGGCAGAGAGAGAGAGAGAGGTTCCCAGTGCCTCCCTTATGAGAAGGCCACGCCCACAAGGAGGCGCCATCAGGCTGTGACCTGATTGACAGGTTGGATACCACCCCTACACTTTTATGTATCTTCAAGTTGACGGGAAATTATGTAACTACCACACCCTAGTTCCTGCAGAAGAGTGCATTTCCTGACCTGGCCGTTGTATCTTGGATTAGTACTCTAGGCTGGTATAAATGGCTTCAATTGGTACATTAAACTCTGGTATAAATGGCTTCAATTGGTACATTTTAACACTTCTTTGTGTTCATGGTCCCTACACCCATTTCCTCTCCCTTATCTCTCCTGCTCTTTTAAGCCTCCACTGGCAATTGTGTGGAATGGTATTTGAGGAAAGCAGCTTTGTAAAAAAGAAGAAAAAGACCAAATTTTCTTGTGCATAAAGATTGGATTTTTTTAACAGCCATTTCCTCAAAGACATGTGTATTGCTTATTACTGGCATTTGGTGTATTTCGTTCATTGAAATATTTCTGAATTATTTTCTATGTGCTTTAAAAGGAGGTCAGAAATATAGGATCTGCTAAGATAGTTTGACGGCAAGAAAAACTGAAATTGTCTCTTCTTTTGAGAGTCATGTGTGGTGTGGAGCAACTGGAAAAATGGACAATTTTTGATACTTGTTGGTATGGTTAAAATGGAATAAAAAGTGTTAAGAGTTTCAGATATATATATATATATATCACAAAACCTACTATTTTTACCATTGAAATTAAAGTAATGATAGTTTTAACATGTGTATAGTGCAACCAATATGCTTTTCCCTTGAACTGTTATAGTTTTAAGGAAGTTCTTCTGTGTTTAATATGTATTTGTAGAAAGCCACCCCCACCCCTACCACTCCACTCCCCCCCCACAAATCCTTCAAATCTGAATAACTAACAAACAAACAAAAATCAGCAAAACTGGTGTGACACCTAGTTATCTTTTATTTCATTCGTAGCAATTGTTTTAAGAAAATAAATACAAAAACTCTAAATTAGTTTTATTGGGATCAGAGGATGTGGGGGATTTTATAGTCCCTATTGGCCATGGAGCTTTTGTTCATATTTTTTATGCTTTACTCTGAAATTGAGTTTCAAACTGGAATGGCTTTGTGGTCAAGTGCTTCTCCAGAGGTCCTCTGACCTAAAGACTTCAGCATTTGTATTAACGTGAAACTTCCTCACTTTCCTATACATCGCCCATAAGAAGGAGTGCGACTTTAATTGGACTTTGCTGAGGTGCTTCACTGTCCGCTGGTTTTTGTTTTCGTTTTTCCCTTTAAGGCAGAGCCATGTGATACATTGTTTTATTCGGGTTCTCTTTCATCCATGAATACACAGTGGGTGTGGTTGGAATCATCAATTTTTATTAAAACCCTTCTGGAAGAGAAAATATGTATAAAGAAAAGAAACAATAATCACTGAGCCAGGGTTTGTGCATTCCTCTAGACTGGTTCTGGAGTATATGTTGACAGCACCCACAGCTCTCAAGTTGATTCCAACTAATATTGACCCACCAGGACAGAGCGGAACTGCCCCTGTGGATGATTTATTTGAATTGCTTCCATCAACTTCCACCAAAATAAAGAAACAAACTGTTGTTAATTGATATCCAGTTTGTTCTGACCATGTTCACAGGATCAGACTATTGTGACCCCGTGTTCACAGGATCAGACTATTGTGACCC